AAAAACAAAATATAATCAAAATAATATAAATCACTAAAATATGTATGAATATTATAGAAATATCACGGCTCATTTTTAAATTTAAAAATAGAATTGACGCTAATAATATTACGAAGACATCATTCAATTATATTAAATAGGTAATGAAATATAAATTATTTTTGTTACTAATTTATGTTTTTATGATTCAACTCGGATTGTCTATAGTATATATTTTATAATAATGGTTAAAATATAAACAGAATATCTACACATGCTAGTTTAAATTAAAATTAAACCTCGATTTTAACTATCAATGTTCTTACAATAACGTGCTGGTACTCACGTAGTCTTTACGAAAGTCGGTGCGCCGTGTACTGGATTTGATGCAACAAGTCGTAATGATCTGACTATTGGTCCCTCTAGGCTTTATAAACGATAGTCGCAGCTGTTACGTGACGCAAGCGTCGGATCAGGAAACACAAATTCAATATTAATTATCTTAGTGTATACATTTCAATTAGTAAACTGATAGTAACCCCCGTGGACCCTTAACAGGATATTAAATCGACATTATTAGCTATTATATGTACTTCACGGGCGGTACATAATACTATATCCTATACTTGTTCCGTTAATGTATTTGAAAATTGTATTATTTTATAACAATAAAATATGACCAATTTAAARAAAGAAGACAATTAATAAGTTGTAATATTTGATCAGATAAACTGTGTGCACAAAAATATAGCGATGGATATGTATATAGTATGCATTTAATTGAACGAATAAAAGATAAAATATTACATTAAATTAAAATCATTAAATAATTCAAACAATACCATAATATTTCGATTCAACTTACTTATATATAATCATTATATTTGTTTTATTTTATTCTACCATWACTTCAAGTCAATAAAATATTAATTTAAATGTTCTTGCTAAATCTATGACCTGGTTCTTATAATATACCTACCAATTAAAGTTGAAATAATCACATTTGTATAAACTGTATCAGTAATTAGGCTGCAGGTAGGTACTCAAAACGTATAATAAATTGTAATAGACAATAGTAAACAATAGTCATACTAGTAAAACCTCTTCAATAAAGCACGTAGGTATTTGATAAGTTTATGTTTATCTTACACAAGTATCAACAAATCAGACAGGATTGACATTATTATCATCAAATTGATCAGGCTTAAATTAATTTATACTATAACATAATATATTAAAAAGGCTTATGTGCTTCTTAGGTATTTCTTATTACCTATGTCATCGATTAAACATAAATAGGTAGTATTTTACTACTGTTTAGTTGAATATTGTACACTGTAATACAATAATAAAATATAATATTGTGAACATTAGTTACTTATGTGAGCACGTAAATTTAAAATAAAAATTGAAGTATGTATATTTTTAATTTATAGCAATCAAAT